TCAGGGATACTGCTCAATTTGTGTTGAAACTATGAGAAAAATCAACCGTCCATGAAGAAATGTTATCAACTTAAAAAAAAAGATTATTGCTTCTTACCGTTCAGAAATTATAAAAGGAAATTATTGAGCGGGTGTTGTGGACGTTAAGTCGTTTGGTAAAGATTGGAACTTACCATAGCCTGACAACATAAAAAAGTCTTGTTCGCTTGCAAGAGAGTCGTTTGTTAGCTATGGATGTTTAACCTAGGCTAATATAATGCTGTGTTGCACATATGAGCGAGACCATTCCGACCTACGAGGCGGTTTGTGACCAACTATTTCGAGGATTATTAATCGAAATAACTTTTACGATGTGCACGACCCCAACTCGGGAACTGAAATCTATGGCCACTCTGAACAAGGTCAGACGATTGATAAGGGAGTTGACTGCTAATAGCCCATTAAGGGTTCACGCGGGGGGGAGGGTTCTAATTAACAGAAAATACAAGCACAGTAAAGTCTGGGAGATATAATCACAGTAAGGTCTAGAATACGTGGTGCCATATTTCGGTGTTTATAAATAAACTTAGAATCAACCCTTCAAGGAAATGATTTGAGAATACAGTGTAGAAGAATTGTAAAAATCAGCAATCTGTGAATCATTGCGAGTTTCAACTATTTGAAATCTAAGGGATTCGATAGATAATGTTATGATTATGTTATGATAGATAAACGCCACGGGGATCGAAATTCCATATCCTATTAAGCTTAAGATGGATCGTCACCTCTTTAAAAAAACCACAGCAATTTTGAAAATTTCATTTATTTAATTTTCACAAGAATTTTTTTCTTCAGTTTTAATTAATTTTTATACTAGTATAAGAAAAACCAATTAAATTACATTTCAATACCATTCACTTACCCATATAGAAAAAATAATTATAAAAACTCTTTCTATTTTCAATTGCTCAATTGTCCTCGATCAAACTGTAACAAAGTTCCAAACACACAATGAAATAAATACTTTTCTATAACGATTTTGAAGGTGGAACATTTTACATTGTATTTAAACTATATTGAATTTGATATGGCAACAATAGTTTTTGACACTTTTATCATGTATTTTATATAAAAAAATTTTTCAAAAGTGTTACTAATAGGTTGTAATTTTCTAAACAATTTAACCACTATCTTATAACGACAATTTCTGTTATTAAAGAACAAAAACAAATTGTTATCGAGTTTTTCTATCACTTTTATGTTTTCTTACAATTGTTACTTTTTATTTGGAAAAATATAGAAGATAAGTACAAGTTTACATTTATAATATTTGAAATATAATTAAATATAAGGAAAACAATAATAATAATTTCAGATAATAGAAAGGAAAATAATCATAGAAAATCAATTAAACGAATAAAAGCAAAGGTACAAAATATTTTTTATCAGTAAAAAATAATTTAATGATTCATAAATATTTTTCGAAATTTGCTTTCGAAATCCTGTAATATTTCGAAAGCAAATTTCGAAATCTTACAGGGCCAGTATAGAAGATCTGAACATATCCGAGAGCTTCCATAAAATATTGGTACACAATTATGCAATAGTAATGCAATTCAATTACACACAAGCAACGAACAACGTGTAAGGCTATTAAGACAACTATTTCAGCTAGGATTGCCATGACAAGGAAGCGGAAAAGACTGCAACTCACCTTTCTAATTTATAACAGCCGATAGAGGTAGCAGCAGATCGCCTACTCTTCGTAAGAATTAAATATTTTTCTGATTACAATACAATACAACAAGTACGCCCAATACAGTAACAGATTCTTGAAAAACTCTATTATGTAACATCAAGGCTGTAGTAGGAGGAATTGACTGTATTACAACCTAACGTAAATATACCGTTGGAGTAGCCCCATTCATATTAAGTAACCCAGATTTTTGCCAATTTTTAAATTTGTTAGTGTACTGTGTAAAATTATAATTAGGATATATTCGCATAAATATTTCAAAAAATTTCAATTTTTCATATTTTCAATCAAATTTTTAAACCTTTATAATTCTTACGTAATAAGTAATTTGTGCAACATTGAAAATTTATTAGACTCATTGAATTGTCCTTGATAAACCCTCATAAACTAAATAATCAATTATTTATTTGAATACCTTTCTACAAGCCACAATATTAACTACTCCATTACTTATATAACATTTTATTAAATTAAACACTTTTATACATTTAACTGGCTTTTGTTAACTGCAATCGAGTGATTATTTTTGAAAATGAAAGAAAAAACTATAGAAATGTGATAGAAAATGACAGAAAATTTATTTGGTCTGTAAAAAATTTTCATTGATTTCTTTATAATTTCCTTTTCATTTTCATTTCCTAATCGTATACACATACATTATTGTTATACCTTACTTTTTATGTGCATGTGTACATAGTTTTTACCTTTGTAAACCACAAAAAAAAATTTATTTATCTTTAAGTTAAAAAGGGAGGTAAAAATTCCTTTCAAAGTCCTGTTTTTTTTTTAGTTCCCATCAACAATGGAATTTCATTAACTCGTGTGTGTTAGAATGACATGACATTTTGATTAAATGATGTGAGTGTATTAAAAGCATTTTGTACTGTTCTAATTTTTTTTTTCAATTTGTTTCGTTCATTTGTAATTTTTTATTTTTTTTTTATTATTTTTTTTTTTGGTATCTCATTTCTATTTAATTTTTTTCTTTTCTTTGTCGAATGGGGTATTCTTTTGTCACGTTTTTAGATAACGAGTTTTGATAACACAAAAGAAACTTTTTTTTTATTCTCGTTTAATTTTTCTAGCTCTATACAATATTTTTACCCTTATTGCTCTAATCAAAAATTAAACTAGGCATACATAGGTACATACATTTATAATGGTATAGAGCCATATGCAATTAAGTTTTGTTAATTATTATAGTAATTGTATGTATATAAAATGTATTGAAAATTTTAATTAAGTATAAACAAGGACGAAAATTAGTGTTATACAATATTATTTTTTACGGTATATGCATATTTTGTTTGTGTATTTTTCTTTTTTTTTCTATTTTAAATTGGGTGTTCATTCAATTTTTTTTTTAAATGTATTTAACTTGGATTTAATATTAGGTTTTGTGTATGTATGTACATATAGAATAATATTATTGCATTTTGAAATTGAAAGTTTATAATTAATTCATATAACAAATAAGTTTTTTAAGCATTGGGTGTTAATGAAATGAAAGTTGTAGCACTGAATATTGAAATAAAATTTTTAAATTTTAAAAATTTTCTATAATTTTTGATTGAAATTTAATGGAAAATAAAATATTTTTATAGAAATTTAAATATTGATTTATATTTAAAAATGTATGTATGTACATAATCGATTAAACGTCCTTGGTTTGTAAAATAGAACATTTCATTTAAATTAGAATATGGTTAAATGCTTGTGTTTGCTTTATAGCTAGCTTTCTTCTTCTCTTCTTCTTCTGGCGCTACATCTCGTGGTGAGATTTGGCCTTCTTTACAATTTGCCTCCATTCTGCTCTATTTTCTGCCTCTCTCTTCCAATCGCGAACCCCTAGTGTTCGCAAATCACTTTCTATGCCGTCTATCCACCTAGCTCGTGGCCTGCCCCTTCCTCTACTTAACAGTGGCTTATATTCGAAGGTTCGTTTTTGTTTGCGGTCTTCAGGCATCCGTGCTAAGTGGCCAGCCCATCTTAATCTTTGGGACTTGATGTGTTTTACAATATTTTCGCCATGTATTGATTGATTCAACTCTTCGTTCGTACGCAGAAGGTATGTTCCATCTTCAAGTCGTTTGGGACCAAAAATCTTTCTTAATATTTTTCGTTCGAAGATTTTTAAGTTATTTTCATCACCCTGAGTCAGAGACCATGCCTCGCACCCATAAGTCACTATAGGCCTGATGGTCGTTTTGTATAAAATGGTTTTTAAGTTTCTTGATAATAGTCGAGACTGAAATAGTTTCTTATTTGCGTAATAACTTCTATTGCCATTTTGAATATTTTCATTTATGCAGGCGTGCATACTATTATCATTAAATATCGTTGCACCCAAATACCTAAAATGCGTAACTCCTTCGAAGTTATATTCTCCTATGGTAATGTTTTGTGGTGCTCTTCTTCTTTCATCTCGACTCATTCTCAAATACTTCGTTTTTTCTTCGTTAACCAAAAGACCTACCTCAAGTGCCATCTCAGCCAAAACGACGAACGTTTCAGCCATCGTTCGATAACTCTTTGAGACAATGCATACGTCATCTGCGTATGCCATTATTTGGTACGGCCTCGTGAATATGTGGCCCCCATTTTCTAGCGTTCCAATAGCGTGTTGCAAAACCATATTAAATATTAAGGTTGATAAAGCATCACCCTGCCTAACTCCAGCCTTGACTGCAAATTCTTTAGACGTCTGGCCTTGTATCAATACAGAAGTTTTGGAGTCCTGCATTGTCAGTAACGTCATTTGTATTAGTTTGTGGGGTATACCGCGTCCAATTAATGCCTCACGTATCTTGCTTCGTTTTACTGAATCAAAAGCCCGTTGAAAATCTATACATAGAATATGTAGATCCATGTTATATTCGTAACATTTCTCCATTGTTTGCTTCAAAAGGAATATTTGATCTACAGTAGAGCGGTTTTTCCTAAATCCACATTGGTATTCACCAATGGTTACCTCACTGAATGGCTTTAATCTATTGTATATGATGTTAGACAATATCTTGTATAAAGAATCCAGCAACATGACACCCCTGTAATTGCTACACAAGGTTCTATCCCCCTTTTTATGTATGGGAACAAAAAGCCCCAGTGTCCAGTCGTCAGGCATCCTTTCATTGCACCATATATTGCAAATCAGAGTGTGTATATTATTTAACAATATCTCCCCACCACATCTGACCAGCTCAATCGTTATGCCGCTCTTTCCCGGAGCCTTATTATTTTTCAGCTTATCTACAGCTTCCCTTAACTAGTCAATCGTTGGCATGTCTATAACTGGGTCCAGAGGTACATTATCGTATACGTTTTCTTCATCTGCACTGTAACCTTCCTTAAGTGTTTTCTGGAAATACTCAACCCATCTATCCATAACTTTGCTTTCTTCAACTATAAGATTACCTTCTGAGTCTTTGCAGACATTAAGTTTCGCTTGGTAACCTTTAGTCTGGTACTTGGTTCTTCTATAAACTTCCCTAGTGTTGCCTTCTAAGTGCGCTTCTTGAATTTTTTCTACTTGTCTTTTCATCATTAATTTCTTTTTCTTTCGACATAGTTTAGTAGCATATTTCCTCTTTTGATTATAGTTTTCGTGGTTTGATCTTGAGTTTCTATTTAACATTTTTTGTCTCGCATCATTTTTAATTTTAATGGCTAACTTGCATTCGTTATCAAACCAATCTATGTTTCGTTCGATCGGCTTCCTTCCTACTACTTCGTTAGCAGCTGTGTTAAGGGTATTTTCAATTCGTTTCCACTCTTCATTTACTGATTCATTTTCTTGAGCGTTGTTATTGGCATTAAGTATCTCGTTCACCCGGGATTGAAACCGTTCTCGAATTTCGGGGGTTTTTAATTTTTCGGTGTCCCATTTGATTCTCTTAATGCCTCTTTCTTTGGCAACATTAGCAATTCTTTGTCTAAGAACCAGTTTCACAAGAAAGTGATCGCTGTCACAGTTTGCTCCTCTACATGATCTAACGTTCAATATGGAGGAAGCTCTTCTCGAGGAGATCAATACGTGATCAATTTGATTAACTACCTGTGAACCCGGAACCCTCCATGTTCCCTCATATATATCCTTTCTCTCGAAACAAGTACTTTTGACTTTTAATGCAGCTTCACTGGCTAATTGACACAGGCGCAAACCATTCGCGCTCGTGTTGTCATGTAAAGAATGTTTCCCAGCAACTTCCAGCACAAATTTTTCCTTTCCAACTTTCGCATTAAAATCGCCCAAGAGTATAAGAGTGTCATACGATCCTGCCTTTTCACACAATGTACTTAGGTTATCATAAAAAATATCTTTTTCTTGTTCTTCGGAATCTTCTGTTGGTGCATACGCACATATAACTGTAATATTGCAGAATTTCCCTTTAAGTCTCAACGTGCACAGCCTGCTATCAACGGGTGTAAATCCTAATATGTTATTTCTTAATTTTTTGTTTATGATAAACCCTGTACCGTACATTCCTCTTCTATTCTCGTCACCACTATAGTATACTATATATTCCTGTTTATTAATTTTTCCATATCCTTTCCATCTGGTTTCTTGTATAGCTAATATATCTATTTTATATCGCAACATTTCATATGCTACTTCTTGCATTTTTCCAGATTGTAACATTGTTCTTATATTCCAAGTACCTAAATTTAAATCATTGTCCTTTAAACGTTTCCTAGTTCTTATACCATTATTTCCATCCAATATCCGAGGCATTTGTAAAGATTGCATAACACAGTTAGTTTTTTGTAGTGTCCGGGTGTTAACCGTACGACTAACCCCCAACCTGGAGGACCGGGTCATTTGATTTCGGAGTTTTCGTCTCCTAGCCTTTGAGAAACCAATCTCCTGACGTGCAAGGCAGCACCACCGGCAGTTGCTTCGTGATTTTTTCCTGCATGAAGGAGTCTAGATAGCTATGCTACCAGGCCTTCCCTACAGGTCAAAATCCTACTCCCTGCACGCTCTACCTATTAGCCCAGTATATTGGTTACCAGGAGGGACCACGAGGAGGTTGGTAGAATGCGGTTTACCCCCCCTTATAGCTAGCTTTATGCAAATTAAATTATTTTCTTAATATATAACATTGCATATATTTAGGATGAATTTTTATAACAGTATTTTTTATCTATAATAGTAATCAAAGATTCCAGTATATTTTATAAGACAATTGCTATGGTATATTTTTTAATAAAACTTATAAGATCGAAGGGATAGGGGACCGAAAATTCGAATTTCGAATTAAAAGGGGAAGAAGATGTACAGAAATTTTGTTTTTTAATGGAATATTTATATGAATTTATAAACTGCTGACCAATCCAAGTTACTGTGTAAGGGAAAATTAATTGAGACATTACCGAAATTCGTTTTTTGAGACAAAAGTTAATTGAGAGGATTTAACACAGATTAAGAAACCGCGATCTGACAAAAACTTAATAATATGGCATATAACAAAAACAAATTTTCAAAAATTAATAGAAGTTATTAGAAATAAAATGTAGAAAGGTAATGCTTTCTTAATTTTGATTAATTTTGACGTAATATTTTTAGGAGTTTTAAAAAAATTTTTAAAAGCTTAATCAGTTCTTTAACACGAACACAATCTCATTTCATTTTACAATCCTCATTTCTCATATAAATTTATCAAGCGTGGACATTTTTTTTATATTTTGATTTCCAAAAATTTCAATATTTATGCATAAAATTCATTTGTTCCTGGTTACAAAATATTTTAACCCTAAAATTTATGAATTTCTCTCCCTAAATTTCCTTTATTATTGAAATTACTGAAATACATAGACAAAATGTAGAAAAACAAAATATTTTTCCAAAAACACCATTTTATACTTTATAATTAAATCAATTAAATTTTATATTCAACAGTCTCTTAAATAATTGAAGAGCATAACCACCACATATTGTATATGTATGTGAATTTTGGTTTCTGGCATTTCAATAATAAATCATTTCATTATTATGATTTAAGGTCCAAATATATTGTAATAGCAACCCTTAAATTAAATACAAAATATTACCAATGTTTTAACTTGATTATGCCAAATTTTAATTTTCGTTATTTCAATTAAACTTATGTAATATTTTTATAGCAATTTTAATTGAATGTTAGTATTAAAAACATAACTTCATTGTAAAATATGTACTTTAAATCATAGTTATAATATGTGTATATGTGAATGCAATTCTGTTATATTTTGCATGAATATAAAATGTATTCGAATGAGTGTTGTAACACATTGCTATATGGATTAGCAGTTATATAACAGTTATATTTTTTAAATTTTGTAAAGTACATTCTGATATAATTACAAAAACAATTCATATATATTATTGTGGCATACTATACGAGTATCATATATTGAAATTTTCCGATTGAATATTGAGATTTTGTTGAAATTGCGAGTGAATCAACTGTACCAAAGAGTGTTTTTCGTCCGAATTTTTAATAATATTACAAGTTTTTGCATATTATTTTTAATCGTTATATTATACATCCAAACTTTTTATAGAAATTCGATGTTAACTTAGAAATCTGCACGTTCACGTTATATAAAAACGAACCACAATATTATATATACAGTCAAAATATTAATTAAGACCAGATTCATTTTATATTTCGTATAATTTTGCATATTAAACAGTGTGTAACATTATCGAACGCAATGAAGCTTTTTATGTTTACACAAATTTTAAATTGTGTGGCCAGACATTAAGAGAGATTTTATTTAAGAAGATGACTTGAAAATTTTACTTCATTTATAATGCATACGCATCAGATATTCTTCATACCCAGAAAATTAATCATAGAGTTTGGAAGAGGAAATTAAATAGTATCGTTGAGTTTTTTTAATTTTTATTATTATTGTGTAGTCTTAAAATTGAATCAGTCGGGCTTACCACTTCGTCACTTAAAGACTGGCGCCTGAACAACATTTCTTAATTCATAATATTAAACAAATATATGTATATAAAGAACGCGTTCGGTGAGTAATTAACTTGATATTTCGAACTTGTAAATTGGCCGCCAAGATGCCTTTCAATTATTTTCTCGAAGGTATGTGAAATATCATGTTCTGAAATCTATTTCAGTAGCAAAAAATAATATTGAATGTACAATTGCTAAAATTTTAGTTGAATTCCCTAAAGTGAACTAAATTTACATGATTGTTATACTTAAATTTTAAATGTTTCCAATTTTCCTAAATTGAAGCATTATAATCGGCTCCATATTTCCTATAAGAAGTATAATATCTCAGGATCGACCAGAATGTTAACTATTTTTATCATTGATTTTATTATCAAACATATTCAGACAAAATAGTAAGCCTAAATATATGTATAGTAAATGGTATATAAAAACATTAAGGCCATTTTACTAAAAAAGGACGAATTTTGGATGCTATTATGCATTTATAAAGAATAGTGCAATTTTGTGAAAATGAAAAATTCTAGATAATATTGTTATTATATGGAAAAATAATTTTTAACAAAGATAAAAGAACAAAAAACACATATACATATAGCTACATATTGCTATATACATATTGGTATATTTTGCTAATAACAAAAATGAGTTCATATTGTTTTTTTCCAAAATAGCTAAATGCAAAAATACTTCTATGGTTAAATACCACAACATATAAAATAAACGCAATATCATTCATATTGAGTTTGCATGCACAAAATGTTATAAACACAAACCATATTTTGTTATTTAAATGAAATGATTTTCAGGACAAAATTAATTCTAATGATACAGGATAGTGTCGGGTTGGGTTATAATAAATAATTTTCAGAATTGTATCATAGAATTGCATCAGGTTTTAGAACAACTTTATTTCGTATAACAATAACATAACTGGGGAAATACGTGCTTACTCCGGTAGAGCTGTAGCCTGCCGAATTCATAAGGTATTGATATCGTGGGAATGTTGTAGGAAAGTGTTTTATACCGATCGAGGCAGGAGGGTGGGAGGGGCATTGTTATCCCATCTGTGCAATCTACAATCTAGGGTAAATCTAGGATTCATAAATTTTTAATGAATATCAATAAATTTTATTTTTACCTGGCACACTTCATGATTTGCACACATACATAATGAATGTAAACGTACGGTTTCGTAATACTTGGCAAAAAAAATTCACCATAAGCTGAATTTAAAATTTGAGTTCAATTTAACCCGTACACATTTTCGCGACTTATAACAAGTTTCTTCTTAAAGTAGCACAATCAATCACGGAATAAATTTTTAAACTATTCTCGGACTAAAATTATTTAATCAATTTTTATGTGACATTTTACTGACAGTAACAACCTTGAGCTATGAATGTTTTTATAATTACCATTATTATTATTTTCGTAAATGTTTCTAAAATAACTGATGTGAATAAAATTATGATAATCTTCATAAAACTCTAAAAATATAACCTCTAAAAATCAGTTCAAAAAATTTTCAATGTCCTTTTTATTAAAATAATCCGATTTTTGAATTTTATTGAATTTCTCATATAAAATTTTTCAGGATCAAAAAAAAATATTTTGAAAAAAAAAATATTTTATTCTTTACGCTAGAAATTATAAATAGAAAAAAAAATCCGAAAAACTTTCATCATAGTTGATTAGTTTTATTTGAAAAAAAAGTTTTTTTCATGTCATTTTTCTTTAATCCGCCTGTTAATGCTCCGAAAAGCAAAAAAAAAAACAAAAAATTGTGAATTAAAAATTCGTTTTTTTTTTATTTAAAGTTGAAAATTGTGAAACAATGTTGAAAAATCAGATAACTGTACTTAAATTTAAGAGAATTAAATTTGCAATTGATCAGGAATTTTCGAAAACGTGAATTTTTTTCCGAATTGATGACAGCTGCAATTGATGATAAAATTAATGATTATTGACATGTGAGTGACATTTATATTCAAATGTCAAAAAATTATCGGTTAATTGAAACTAAATTACCGTAAAATTCAACCCATCAAACAATTTTTTTTTTTAATTTAAAATTTTATTGAAAAACAATATGCAATTAAATTCACTTTTAACTGAAAATATTCGAAATCTAAAGAAGCTAAAAAAATCAATTCCCAATAAATTTTTGTTTCATTCAAAAATGAAAGCCTAAATAATGGGCCTATTTGAACTTGTATGAATTGCGCGTATTTATAGCATGCACTTTGTACTTCTCATACCCTCCCCGCTCTTCCTGCTATCAATTAGTTTTATTTTAATATAAGAGATGGTGTGGGAAGCATAAAAGAAGCCCTTAAAATATACGTATAGGCAGTCAAATGCTGCATTTTAAATATTTTTCAACTATAATGGACGCGATTACAATTTTTCAAATTCAGAAATTTAAATTTATTTTTTTTTTAATAAATAAATTACAGGTCATTTTGCTGTATTTTTTTGTAATATTAGACTTGAGTGTCTAATAAAAGCACTTCTTAATTAATTCACATAAGTACTTCAATTTTTTTCACTTTCCATTATTTTAACATTTGCATACATTTAGGATGTAAAAGTACTAAACGAATTTATGTAAATTATTCTTGATTTTTTGATTTTTTAAATTAAATTCGTTTCAATTTTTTTTTCAAAATTATATTTAATTACTTAAAAAGTGAGTACAGTAAAAGTAGCAAAGATAATATTCATAAATATCACTAAAATCTATACATATTAATTTTTTATGCAAATCACT